CCTCTTCTCCAGGCTGAACAACCCCAGCTCCCTCAGCCTCTCCTCACGGGACTTGTGCTCGAGTCCCTTCACCAGCCTCGTTGCTCTTCTCTGGACCTGCTCCAGGACCTCAATATCCTTCCTGAACTGAGGGACTGGACACAGAACTGGACACAGTACTCCAGGTGTGGCCTCACCAGCGCTGAGTACAGGGGAAGAATCACTTCCCTGGACCTGCTGGCCCCACTGTTCCTGATACAGGCCAGGATGCCATTGGCCTTCTTGGCCACCTGGGCACACTGCTGGCTCATGTTCAGCTTCTTGTCAATCCAAACTCCCGGGTCCCTCTCTGCCTGGCTGCTCTCCAGTCACTCTGTGCCCAGTCTGTAGCTCTGCGTGGGGTTGTTGTGGCCAAAATGGAGGACCCGGCACTTGGCCTTGTTGAACCTCATCCCATTGGAATCAGCCCAACTCTCCAGCCTGTCCAAGTCTCTCTGCAGAGCCCTCCTGCCTTCCAGTTGATCGAGACTCCCCCCCAGCTTAGTGTCATCTGCAAATTTACTGATGGTGGACTCAATCTCCTCATCTAAATCATCGATAAAGATATTAAATAGAACTGGGCCCAACACTGATCCCTGGGGGACACCACCAGTGACCGGTCGCCAACTGGATGCAGCACCGTTCACCACCATCCTCTGAGCCTGGCCCTCCAGCCAGTTCCTAACCCATGATGAAGCAGGTAAGACCCAAACACAGCCAGGGAAAGGTAAAAAACACATTTCTGAACAAGGAGAGAGAGCTTGTGGGTAAATGCTGAAAGAAACCCGGGATGTGAACAAAGAACCTGTTGACTATTTAATTCCTCCTGTGCCAGCAGAGATGAGACTTTAAAAATAAACTAGATTGTAGTGTCAAGTAGAAGACCCCATCAGGCTTCTCTTTGAAACAGGGAAAAAAAATTGACTCCAGCTGTTTTAATTAAAAAGAGACACAACAGTTACCACTTCTGAAGTTTTTCAGAAGGAAGTAGTGAAATTCATTCATCAAAATCGACCGCATCTCTAACTCCAGTGGGATCTCTACTGCTGTTAGGAGACTTAAAATACCATGTTTGAAAAGCTAACACTGCCATATGACCACCTTCTAAAGACCTTTCTCTATCACTGTCGTTATTCAGTTCCCTCAGTCTCCCTTTAGGGATGGAAGTCTCGCATTCCCAGCACTGGAGTGTGAGGTGACTTTAGCACAGTGCTCCCCAGGGCTGAAGGAAGTCAGAACACCTGTGGCCTCAGCTGGGAAATGTCCCTCAGCCAAGCAACACAGGAACTCATCTGGATTAGGAGCAAAGAGGCAGCACTGGCCAAGGCTCTGAAACTACTAGATATATACTAGCTGCTTCTTGCTCAAATTCAATGTACACAAGCATTAGTCCCGAGCAAGACAAGAACTTGCCACAGGCTTGAACTGTTGGGAGAGGAGCACTGAGAAATAAAAGCAAAAACTATTAAAAAATTTACTTGAGGCAAGAAAACAAACTGTACTGCTTAAAATAAAATCTGACCATCTTAAATGATAATTTTAATAATTTTTCAATAATTTCATTTATTTGGTCCTAAGCCAATAGCTATTAAGTAGTTTGGGAGAAGGTTATGTTGAAAGTATGAATTGAATTTAAACTATAATCATTCTTCAAATATTACGGAGAATTATCAAAATCCCAATTAACAGGCATAATTTGGGTCTACCAGCCATGTCCAAGGGTCACACTGATATCATGATGAAGTGCTATTATATCATCACTGAAAAAAACTGCTTCAATAGTGTACTAGTATCTTGCTTTCACTAAACCAGTGGTCCATGGCAGAAGTACTGGCAGTATTTCTCACTGCACAATACAAACTTTATACTCTAGAATTCATATTTCAGAATGCTCACTTCAGCTTGAGGATCATATCACCACAGTTGTAAGATCAGTTATACTCTGGTAAATGCAGGCACAGTTTTTATGGCTACACAATGCACCACGGCTTTAAGATTCCCAGTATGCAGTAAAAATTTTCTACACATGCATAGAGCCAATTGAGTTGGCTTATCCTCATTTCAAATGTATTTGGTGGACAAGTCTAAGACTAAAATTTATCTGAGTTCAAAACAATGTTAAACAAAGCTTCCACAATTCAAAACACAATGTTCACTCAAAACACCATCTATGGAATTGATTTTAAATAAAACTCATTAATTTGCTTCTCACACAATCTGCACACCTTGTTATTTTGCTGTCCTTTTTTTGTCATATTTAATGTGCATAGTAAGATATCTGCATTAACCAATCTGCTACGGAGGGCAGTTTATGAAAGGCCCTTTGGTCATCTACAGGTTAGATGTGACGACCCAGAAGTCCTCTCCCAGCCTTCTGTTCCTGAAGAACACAGGTACAAGAAGAGCTGGACACAACAGCTGCCCACAACAGACGGCACCAGCAAAGGCTCTGGCATTTCCCAGCTGAGAAAATGGCATTTCACCACAGGACACACAGCAAACACACAGGCTACTACCAGAGGAAATCAAATATTTGCACAAGAAGAAAGTGATGAATTTCAGTCATGCATGAAGGGAAACCCAGTGAATAAGAATTACACAATGCCACCATGAACTTGCCCTTAAGAGACACAGAACAGTTTATTCTGAATGGAATAGAGTGGCAAACACAGTAGTGTAAGTTCTTTTTCTTGAAGGTGGAGGAAACAGACAATTTCCGAAGCATCATAAAAAAAGGATTAAAAAACACTAAAAGAAGGCATAGACCTGGATTCTTCTGTTGAAGAATCCTATTTAGTTTACTTTTAAAAGAATAAAAATTTAAACGCACTTTGTTTTGAATTACAGACTGATATTCCAATCATTCCAAGGCTGGAAAATGAGAGATTAAAGGTTCAAACAATGCAAAATAAAGGAACTCACAGGGATGTCTGATGTTCATCACTGCAGTATGTGAGTGGCTAATCACATAACAGATCTTCTCTACAAAGAGCTCTTCATGAAAGACTGAGACTGTTCAAGTGAAGAAATCCTTGTGTTGGGAAGTAGAGAAAGCTAGTTTATTATTTAAAGGCTGCCAGAGCTAAGAGCAGAACAGCAGATGATTTTAGTTTCTAATGAATATGTGGTGCATTCCTCTTGACCACAGATACAGTTCTGGAAAAAGAGAATAAGGAGAAAAAATAGATTCCATCTGATGAAGGGGAAAAAACAACCTTGGATATCAGTTGGACAACCTAAAAAGTCTGTTTTGAACTAGTTTTGAGGGGAAGCCCATAAGGAAGTAAAAACAGCAGAAAACTACGGATCAAGTAGTAAGACTGGAATTCGCAGGCTGGAGACCAGAAATCACACTAGGTCACAGTAGACTGGGAACAGATGACAGCAGACCCAACTTTGAGAGTCTGGGTGTCTGAAGAACACAGGCTGTGCAATCATAGCTCCCTCTTGCACATACACTGGCCCTATATCATCTTACTTTATGGACAATCTCTCCCACCAAACACATCCTAGGTAGGCATATGTAGACCAAGTTCTTCCACAATAACACACTGTCTGCAGCCCACTTCTAACCCCAAGTCAGATGAAGCCCATGAGTAGAAAAAATTGGCCTTTCAGATCTCACTCAAGGGAGGCTATGCAAACTAAGAGGAGGTAGGCTGAGCAAGTCCACACTGGTATTTTATCCATAGCATTACTGAAACAGAAATATCCAGGATACAGGCTGCCTCTTCCTCTTTCTCTCCTTATCCACATTTAGCACTGACAGAAGGAGGGTTTAGTTCCACTCCTACTTCTGCCGAGCAGAAATTCTGGAGGACCAAGACCAGCAAGCTCAGAGATGACAAACTGTTTGCTAGAATATCAGCTGCAGAAGAGTCCAGTTGATCAACAGGCCAAATTCCAGAACCCAGTCACCTTTCTCTTGGCTAGAATGATTCAAAAAACTGATCCCTGGGAGCAGAGCATGGCTTTGCTTCCCACAAACCTATTCTTGCAGTATACTACAGTGTACAAGGCCTCAGTGTCAAATGTTGCTTGGTGAGACATATGAGCCCACAATATTTGAGAGGTCACTGTGGCTAAGCCAGACTTGACAGAAGTGTATCCTTGTAGTGATAAGACTGAATTGTGTGCTTCCGCTGACCCGGATTATATTTGCCAAGGAAATGAGGTATCACAGTCCAAAGCAGATCCCAAGACCACAGCAACATAAAGGCAACATAATTAGGAAATCAGCCCTCTAGTGCAAAACTGGGAATGCACAAATGCATGGATGGTATGTATGTATCACTATTTGGTGAAATAAATCGAGCAGGATATAAATTTAGTTAGGAAGAAAATTCTAGGAAAAGAACAACCCCACAGAAATATATACATTGAAAATATGAAATTCTGTGAAGTTTATAATATCTTTATATGTAGATGAAAGGGAAAAGACTAGAGGCAGGATCATTGCCTAGATCCAGTCCTAGTTACAAGCTCTTGAGAGAGGAAATTGTCTTGAGAGGTCATCAAGGGTGAGGTAAGGAGTTGAGAAGTAGCCACTGTAAAAAGCAACATGTAGAACATTGAAAGATTTAAGAACATGTTGAATTAATAGTTTGCTTAAAGGGCGGAGAAAATACCACAAGCCTATCTGTGACTTCATAAATCTTCATCTTCATTAACAGAGTGAAACCTATTAAGACAAAATGAAAAGGAATTACTTCCTTCTAAGCTACCTAGATATGATATCTTACACTGAACTTTCATTCTATGATGATCATGAACATGCAGGCTCAAAGTACTTTCTAGATCATTGACTGATGTGTTACTTTTGAAAGACCCCTGTGATGAAAGGAGGAATTTAGCAGAAAAACCTGAGAAGTATAAGTATTTGTGCTCAGAGAGATGGATAATACAGAAAATCCAGTTTAGACATCATACAAAACATCCTGGAAATATAATGCACTGAAAATATCTTAAAATTTAATATTTACCCAGATCCTTAATGAGTGATAATGCTTCCCATGATATAAATGCTCCACCACCGTCATCCATAGCTCCCTGCCCAACGTCCCAGCTGTCCAGATGTCCACTGACCAATACAATCTAGAAAAGGAGTTATGAGAAAACATATCTACATTAAAACACAGAATCAGAAAAGTTTGTTTAGCCTTTAAGCATTTTAATGATTTTTTCATAAAGTTGGCTTATTAGTTTAGAATGGGAGGAAAAAAAATTTTAAATAAAACTAAAATATCATTCTCTAGTTTCTGTATATAAATCTGGGATGACCAACTGCATCCTACTGCTTCAAACCACTGCCTAATTCAAACTAGATACACTGTGAGAAATATTTAAATGAAACATTTTGGTTTGTACATTAAGAAAGTGCATACTTTCCAGAGATGCAGGATTACTACATTGCCGAATGGTGAAAATGTCTTTCATATTCCATCTGTTTAAGCCCTTAGGCATGAAGGGCCTGATTAACCTTATTTTTGGGTGCATAAGGAAGAAATATGAACTTAGACTGAAGCATTCCCAGAGGTTTTTGTTTTATTATGCTGTTTTATCTATGCTGTTTGTCACAGAGGACCTCTAATTTATTACTGGATCCCCTATGTACTACAACAAGGTATTTTATAGTTCCATTAGTCACAAGGATATTTTAAATGGTTATTTAAAACATGATAGCAAGTCTAAGATGGATTTTCTGCAGAAAAGGCTAGAGTAGAGAATAGTAGTATACACATCTCCAGGAACATCCACTTTCAGATCTGAACTTTTCAAATGTTGACAAGCAGCATCACAGCAATACCAGAAGTGAGACAGTTCCCTGCTTAGACCTGAAGCTGAAGGGCCAGTGGATCTATGATTGCAGTGGAGAGGTCAAGGAGAGACAAAAACTCTGAGCTGAGCAGGCAGTGTGGTAAAATGATGCAATAGCACAAAAACAAGAGCAGGAGCCACTGTAAAGCCCCAATAGTCTTTGAAGAACTGATACCAGTAAAAACTACCCTTGGGATAGGGTGGAAGTGCTCAACCTATGACAGCTCAGCACTAAGGAAAAACTGAAGGAGACCCTGGAGCATCCACCTGTGTCCTGCCCAGAACTAGCCATACATGAAGGGATGCTTCCTACTCTTTGGTTGGCTGATGTCAAACAAGAACTAACTTGCGGTCCAAATGTTAAGATCTCTATTTTCCTCTTCACAAGAGAGAAATCTTAGTGTGTTTTCACTCGCTATGAAAAATAATGGACTAACAGATCATGGCAAGACAAAAAGTATCAAGTGCTCATCAAACAACAGTGGCTTTTCATCTAAGTACAAAATGACCCTGAGATTAGCTCAGTTGGTTAGAGCCTGGTACTAATAATGCCAACAGGCACTAATGCAAACAGAGTTTGATCCGTTTATGGGCTATTCAGTTAAGAGTTGGACTCAGTGATACTTGTGGGTCACTTCCAACTCAGAACAGCCTGTGAAATCAGGTAACATAACTAAAATACCCTTAGTATTAAACAAGGGCCATGAGAAAGCACTAGTCATATCTGCTGTACTGCCATGAGTCCAATCAGAATGCACCAAACCCCTTTAGATTTAGAAGATACACTGTGAGATGTTTATAAATGTGTGTGTTATAAAAAACCAGAAAGAGTAATGCCTTAGAAGCACGAAAAGCTTGTCATCAAAATCTGAAGAGCAGCTTACTCTTTTCTTCTCAGATGTCTCAACTTTCTTTTCTGCTTATCCAGCCTTAACTCAACATTTTTTTCCAGCACAGACTGATTTTCTTGGTAGTAGATAGACATGCTGCAACCTTTATTCCAAAACCTCTCCTCCTTCGACAGTGCTTAAATTTGGATAAGTCCCTCTGCAAAAGCCTCAGAATTACACAGTGATATTCCTGCGATTTAACGTCATGATCCTCTCAGGCCCTGCATGAAAGACTGCAAACAGCATGTTTTCCAGGGACATTGCCCTGCAGTAGAAGTACTTAATCTGCAGCAGCCCTCTACTACAATAGCGACATAGCTTGAAACCAGATCATCTGAGAAAAGCCATGCCAGCTTTGGAGGTACAAACCTTTCTGTAATGAGAGCAGAGAAGTGCTCACTGTGGTACTCCTTGCTCTTTTGTTTTCTTATAAGGGACAACTAAGCACGCACACACACACACACGTGCACTTGCAGGTGGTGAAGGCGACACATGAATGAACTCTGCTTTGTGTTCATTCATGCATGTGCAGCCCCACTGCAACCAGCCTATGGAGGAGAGAGCTCAAACACCACCATTGATGCAGACTCAATACAGTCCACTCAATAAGGAATTTGCAAACAATAATAATTTTTTTAAAAGAACAGAAAAGGCTCTGAGTGAAAGCCCAATTGTCTGTGGTATAAAGGACGTCTATTTTGCAACTTCAAAATCAACATGTGGTTTTTTGTTCTTAAAGCAAAAACTGGTTTTAAGAAGATAACTATTCTGTCTCCTGGGAAACAGAGCTTCAAGATGAAGTGAATTATTTAGAACGAGCTTGTAAACTCATTGAGAGAGAACCAAGTTTACAACAGAAGTGACGCCTTATCTTTAGCAGTGAAAGAACACCTCAGTAACACTGTTCCCTGGCAGCAGTCTCAACATCAGTGTCTGAGAGGGAATTACTCCTCGTTTCTGTGGAACAACACATATTGCAACAGCAAGAAATTCTGAATCAGAAGAAGGTGGTGTAATCTCATTTGGTGTTACAAACTCCAGTCGTAAAGCATCTTTACCAACTCCAGAACATTACACCAAAACAGATCAAGGTTCAAGTGGATTGAGAAAGTCAGATAATTTTATGGATGAACTTTGACTTAAATTTACTGAATCTGTTGCCAAACTCAATTACGTAAATACAACCATTGTACTTCTATGTGAAACTTTTTTGAGAACATTTTTTTTAAACTATCATATTTTTGTAGCAGCTGCAAAAATGAAAGTTTCACTGATAATGCTGATAGTCATAGACATTCTTAAAAAAAAAGTCTATCCTGACCATTTCCCAAATATTTGGTTTGGGCTACAAATAGGTTAAGAAAGATCTGTGTGTTTCTGCACCTGCCTTTAAGAAAACATTAACTGCTCCCAGTTAAACTGCAATTGGATTAAATCATGCCCTAAATGTAAATCAGGAACATGACCACATTCAGTGGATTTTATTTTGTATATATAAAGATATTTCTTCAAATTAGTTTCTAGCTTTGGTGTCCAAATAATATGACTTCACTGGACTGCTCCTTTTATTAGATTTTACGCACATTAGGAATGGTTCTTAAATAATCAGTCTAGCTGTCTCAACTAATTTACAGCCCTAAAGATATAGTGAAGTTCAGAAAGAAAAAAATGATTAAAACAACAACTGTCTTTTCTACTTAATATGCAGCGTAGTAAGTCTTAACTTCCAGGCTTCTGATTAAATGATAGATCTGCACATGAAATAGAAGTGACTCACTTAGTCGCACAAGAATCCAACTCTATTATTGCTAAAAAACTGATTAACCTTCAAAGAACCCCTGTGTCACAATATACAGTAAACTCTTTAAAGTCGAATCTCTACTTAGTAGAAGTGATTGAAAATAAAGTGTTCTTGGAAAGTACTGCAATCAAACCTCCCTGTTTGAAGTGAATTTCAAAACTGCTGAGTAGTTAAATAGCATGGGCTGATATCATTTACAGCATATAAGACAGTGAAGGAGAAAATTAGTCTGAAAATAAATTATTACTGATAAAGGAATCGTAGTAAAGGTAACGAGACACAGAAACTATATAAGCATTCAAAAGATAACCAAATATTGAAATTACTACCATTTTCATATTAAATGTTGGATTTTAAGACTTAGTATTTCCATATTAAAGTCCTCCAGAATCTTTTATTTCCTGTTTCCTGAGCTGTAACATCTCAGAAATAATACCACTCTTCATAATACTTTATTTTGAATAAAGGATTTTACTTTATATATTTCAACTCCCTTCTAGAGGTTTTAAGAGGAAAAATCATAACAGTAACTACCTCTAAACAAAACCAGGCATAACTGAAATTAGCACCCTTGCATAAAGATGATGTTGTAGCTGCTTTTTTTCTCGTTCAAAGATTAGCAAAGAATCTCTGCAATAGCCCTGTATGAAAGCTGAAATGGCATCTGAGCTGACGTGTAGAGAGAAACATTCTTTTTTCCACACTTACCAAAGGAAGACTTCCCTTACACATGTAGTAGATAATTTTATAATCTAGAATATTTGTATTTATATATTTTTCACTTTAGGGATATATAGGATTTCACATTTTTACAAATCTATCAATATCCCCAAATGTTTTATTGTTGAAATTCCTTTTCTCAGTAAGAAAATTAATCTCAGCAACAGAATTAATCTCAGCTAAAATAAACACTAGTGTCCAATGCTGCTTCTTTCACTGAGGCATTTACAAGAACTGTCCTACTTGTACACTGTGATACTATGCATTACCCTTTCCAAAACTGTAAAAATAGTAGATTTTTCTAAAAAAAAATTACAACTATTTTTTCCTCTCAAGAACACTAGAGGATCCCTTACTAAGTCAGAACCATGCCTCACTAGCACTGCCTTGGAGCATTCTGATGACCTAAAATGACCTGAAAGACACTCTGAGTAGCCACCTCTCAACTGTCCTCAAGAAAATAGACTTGATTTTAAAAATTCTCCAAGAAGATTGCTGATGGAAGCAGGCCAAAACAACCCTTAGATGGCTGTAATAACAGCAGAGGACTACAACACAGGAGGCTTCAAAACCTAACACTTATGTCCCTGTGCCAGACACCAAGCATTAGGGAACACTTGAAGTTGGAAGGGACCTCTGACTGTACATTGACTTCCATGTTCTGCTCACAGCAGAGTCAACTTGTATCTGATCAGCCAGAGTTTTGTCCAGTCAAGTTCTGAAAATTTCCTATGATGGAGATACCACAACCTCTCTGGACAAACTGCTTCAATGTTTACTCTTAGGAAAATATTTTTTCGAATACCTACTATAACACAAGCTTTTGTAAAATGTGACCTACTGGGCCCTCACTGCAGCACTCAAAA